AATCTGATTGAAACGTACAGAATACTGAGAGGCCTGGATAGAGTGGATGGGGAGAAGATGTTTCCACTCAGTAGGAGAGACTAGGACCTGAGGGCACAGCCTCAGGGTGAAGGGACGACCCTTTAGAACTGAGATGAGGAGGAATTTCTTCAGCCAGAGGGAGGTGAATCTGTGAAACTCATTACTGCAGAGGGCTGTGGGGGCCAAGTCATTGAGTGTCTTCAAGACAGAGATAGAGAGGGTCATGATATGTGAGGGGGGTCAAGGGGTACGGGGAGAGGGCAGGAGAATGGGATTGAGAAACATATCAGCTGTGATTGAATGGGGGAGCAGTCTCAATGGGCTGAATGGCCCAATTCTGCTCCTACATCTGATGGTTCTTCTGCAAGTTCACCCTCCGAGCCCCTCACCGTCCCCGACTTGGGAAATATATCGGCCGTTCCTTCAGCGTCGCTGGGTCAGAATCCTGGGACTCCCTCCCTGAGGGCACTGTGCGGGGGTCCCTACACCACATGGACTGCAGTGGCTCACCCCCACCTTCTCAAGGGGGGGCAATTAGAGGGGAACGGGGCAATAAATGCTGGGCCCAGCCAGTGACACCCACATCCGACGAGTGAGCGAAAACCAGGCTGTGGTGCTTATTGAGAATAAAATGTAGGCGGTTTGACTTGGCTATCAGTGTGCTCAATAAATTATACCTCAGGCATTTTGTTTCTCCGTTGTAGGATGTGATTGAGAAAGTAGAGCCGGTAAAAGATGCACAAAATTAAACGAGAGACTTCTGAATCGCATTGTCAGTGAGCAAGTCTCTAACCATCAACTGTGGCTCCATCTCGACGTTGATGTTTAATTGGCCGGCAGTGAGTGGAACCACTTTCAGAACAGACAGACCTGGCTGAGGGTGTGTGGGGGGGTGGGGGGAGTTAATCTGGCAGAATAAGGGACGTCTGTCACAAACATAGGGCACGGCTCCTGTTGGGCCCACCTTTCCTGTTTTGCTGTGCTCACTATCCTGTCATTGGGCAGTGAAGCCTTTGCTCGGAGCCAGCTCCTGCTATATAACAGTGAGAGTCCATGAGGTTCTGACAGTCAGAAAGCAGCGATGTCTGCAGTTCCCACTATGTCTGTGTTTGTGTTCCTCGTCCTCTTCTGCTTCTCTCCCGGTAAGATGCGAAAAACTCTTTGTAATAACTCTTTCTCGCCGGTAATGTTATTGTTTTGCCTCCGAGCAGCCCAGTTTAAGAGCTGGCAGGAAGCAGGAGGCAATGTTTGAGGTTTGTTTTTCTGACAAGTCGGGTTCTGCAGAGGTCAGTGTTGGTGCCTTATGTAAGTGATTCAGACTTGAATGGAGGAGAGTATATCAGTAAGTTTGCGGACAATACAAAAGTTGGCGGGACGGTAAACAGGGAGGAGGATAGCCTTCGGTTACGGGAGGATAGAGATGGATGGGTCTGTGGCACATAGAATTCAGGATAAGTGTGAGATGATGCACTCGGGCAGGACAAGCAAGGTGGGGGAATACATGATGGATGCTAGGACCCTGGGAAGCACCAGAGATCAGAGGGACCTTGCTGTGTAGGTACCTTGGTCACTTAAGGTAGCGGGACAGGGGGATAGAGTGGTTCAGAAGGATTACGGGATAGTTACCTTCATTAACTGAGGCGTAGAGTTTAGGAGCAGGGAGGTTTGGCTGGGAACTGTATATAAAACATCGGTTAGGCCACACAGCGAGAGTATTGTGTGCAAGTTCTGGAATCCACATTATAGGAGGGATGTGATAGCACTGGGAGAGAGAGCAGAGGGAGATTTACCAGGATGTTGCCTTGTGGAGGCTGGAGAGTTTCAGTTCTTGAAGAAGGATTGGGACAGACTGGGGGGTTGTTTTCCTTAGAGCAGGAGATTGAGAGGGGGGGACGTGATTGAGATGGATAAAATGATGAGGGATGTCGATAGGGTAGACAGGAAGGAACTTTTCCCCTTGGTAGGGGGTATCAAAGCCTGAACAAGTGGGGTCATGGATTTAAGGGAAGGGGCAGAAGGTTTAGAGGGGGACGTGAGGAAAAATGTTTTCCCCCAGGGGCTGGTGGGGAATCTGGAACTCACTGCCTGTAAGGGTGGGAGAGGCAGGAACCCCCATCCCATTGAAGAAGGATTTAGATGGGCAGTTGCCATGCCAAGGCTGTGGGCCAAGTGCTGGGAGACTGGGATTGGAATTGTGAGGTGGTTGGCACAGACTGGATGGGCCGAAGGGCCTTTGTCTGTGCTGTAGACCACTACGGCTCTGGATGGATGAACTCAGGATCAAATTCTTGCCTCTCAGAAGGTGGCAAAGGAGAAATAACTGGGTGAGTTGGCATTCGCAAGATGCTTAACCCCTTTCTCATCAGCTCGCAAGTTAAATTCTGGGTGAGATGTTTTCTGGATCTTCTGGACTGATCACCAATTAAAACCTTCACGTGGTCAATGTGTGCCTACTTAATGCCCTGAACCCACCAATTTCCCAGTGACTGAGAAAGGTGGCTGATTTTCCCCACCGGATTGGGTAGGGGCCTACCCTTGCCCCAGCGAGGAGGCAATCAGAGGCTTGGCTGGGCAGGCAAAGAGGGTGGGCTTTGAAAACAACCTCCCGGCCTTGCCTGCAAACCCATCTCTGCCAGCTGCTTCTGGTGACCGCGGGAAACCCAGCATCAGTGTTCGTGGTAGGCTGAGAATCACCACCATCCCCTCCCCCACACCCCCCCACCCCCCACATGCCAGCTTCAACCAAGCTGATTGGCGGGTGATGTGTTGCATTCTATCTGCCATGAGATGTTGTCAATCACAGTTTAACACCCACATTAACATCCTGTTTCAAGCGAAAAATCGCTGCTGAACATTTATCTAGGCGCTGTTAAAGACCCTGATTGGGAAAAGTGGCATGTTTTTCCATCGCAACACAGAAACTAGGAGTGTGAGTGGGCCATTTGGCCCTTCAAACCCACTCTGCCCATTCACTATGATCATGGACTGATCATCCAACTCGGCTCCCTGTACCCCACTTTCACCCTATGATCCCTTTAGCCCTAAGAGCTACATCCAAATCCTTCCTGAAAACATTCAGTGTTTTGCCCCCGACCGCTTTCTGTGGCAGAGAATCCCACAGGCTCCCCCACTCTCTGGGTGAGGACATTTTAATCTGGATAAATGCGAGGGATTACATTTTGGTAAAAAAAACAAGGGCAGGACTTATACAATTAATGGTAAGGCCTTGGGTAGTGCTGTAGAGCAGACAGACCCGAGAGGTTCAGGTACATAATTCTTTGAAGTTTGTGTCACATGTAGACAGGATGGTTAAGAAGGCGTTTAGCACACTTGCCTTCATTGCTCAGACCTTTGAGTATAGGAGTTGGGGCGTCATGTTGAGGTTGTACAGGACGTTGGTGAGGCCTCTTCTGGAACACTGTGTCCAGTTCTGGTCGCCCTGTTATAGGAAGGGTGTTATTAAACTGGAGAGGGTTCAGAAGAGATTTACCAGGATGTTGCCGGGATTGGAGGGTTTGTGTTATAAGGAGAGGCTGGGACTCTTTTCACTGGAGCGTAGGAGTTTGAGGGGTGACCTTACGGAGGTTCATAAAATAATGAGAGGTATATAGAAGGTGAATGACAGGTAGCTTTTCGCTAGAGTGAGGGATTTCAAGACTAGGGGGCTTATTTTTAAGGCAAGAGGAGTAAGATTTAAAAAAGACATGACGGGCAACTCTTTTACGCAGAGAGTGGACCATGTGTGGAATGAACTTTCAGAGGAAGTGGTGGATGTGGGTACAATTACAACATATAAAAGACATTTGGATAAGTACATGAATAGGGAAATGTTTGGAGGGATATGGGCCAGGAGCAGGCAGGTGGGACTAGTTTAGTTTGGGATTATGTTTGGCAGGGGCTGGTTGGACCAAAGGTCTGTTCCCGTACCGTGTGACTCCTCATCTCAGGCCTATCCCAGATCCTTAGACTGAGACCCCCTGGTTCTGGACTCCCCAGTCATCAGGAACGTCCTTCCTGTGTTTACCTTGTCTAGTCCCTGTTAGAATTTGATAGGTTTCTAGAAGATCCCCTCACTCCTCATTGTTCTTCAACCCACTCTGGCATTGATTGAAGATCTCCATGAGGAGGGAAAGCTTTCTACTTCTGACCCAGAGTTGCTAGGCGACAGAGTTCTGTCCTATTGGCTTCCTGGCAGTCACTTGATCCAACAACAGAAGTCATTGATGAATTCCACTGCCCATGCTGATGAATCTTTATCCTTTGGTCTTAAAAAAACAGAGCAAAAATGAGGTGACGGGTACCAAATCGGCTCAGTCTTGTCGCAAACCATTTTTATTTGTTCACGGGACGAGGGCATCTCTGGCTAGGCCCAGCATTTATTGCCCAGAGGGCAGTTAAGAGTCAATTGCTATGGGTCTGGAGTCATGTGTAGGCCCAGACCAGGTAAGGATGGCAAATCCTTTCCCTAAAGGACATTAGTGAACCAGATGGGTTTTCCCCAAACAATCGACAATGGATTTATGGTCACCATTAAATAATTTTAGTTAAAAACATCTTAATTCCAGGTTTTTATTGAATTCAAATTCCACTATCTGACCCCTGGCAGGATTCGACCCTGGGTTCCCCAAAATGTTACCAGGGGGCCCTCTGGATTAAAGGTCCAGTGATAATATCACTAGGCTGTCACCTCCCCCTTGCACCTGGTGTTCCAGAAATCTCACTAACTCCCCTGGTAAACTTTCCTTCTGTTTGTAAATTCAATACTGTTAGCTAATCGCCTCAATTGTGCTAAAGTGCTTTGTACACTTGCCAGCAGTAACTCCCTTCGCAACAATAGTTTGACAACAGTTGCTGGCATCACCTTATCAATGGATTGATGAAACATAAGAGGTGCCAGTGATTTAGGGATCCCATTATAGTCCAGAGCAAATCAGGGAAGGTTTCCTCTGCATCTTGGCCGACGTCTCTAGTGACATTCTAAAACCACTTTTATGATGATATAAACATCCCATTCCAGTTTTCGGCTACAGCTGAGTGGGGGAAAACCTGCCCTCAGCGACCCAAAGCTCACTGGCGATGTGGGATTGAATGTGCCTTTCAAACCAGGGTGATGAGGTACATCTCCTTTCAGGGTCTTGCATGCCAAAAAAAAGATTTGTTCCACCTTTCTGTGTGAATTCTTTGCCCCTCTCCCTCCCTTCACTGCCTAGGATTCACCCAAGAGCATCTGGCAGCTGTATCAGAGGCTGTTGCTAGGCCAACAGTTTTGCACAGCCACACCAAATTCAGATTAAAGTTGCTAGTCCAGGTAATAATAAGCACAAAACGACTAAACTGCTCCTAAAATTCATCAGGATTCGTAACGTCCTCGAGGCAAAGAAATCTGCTGTCCTTTCCCGGTCTGGCCGACACACAACTCCAGTCCCAGGGCCATGAGATGCAGCGTAGAGTCACTTCGGGGGAGTGAAGTGTTCACAATGCCCCACCCCCACCCCCACACATCCCATGTACAAGATAATAAAATGCTCTTTCATAGATAACAAGGTGTAGAGCTGGATGAATACAGCAGGCCAGGCAGCATCAGAGGAATAGGAAAGCTGACGTTTCAGGTCTGGACCCTTCCTTGTTGCTAGGTGACCAAGCCAATCCCTGATCGAGTAGTCATGTGATGTCCAGAAGCCTAAAGAATTCTATTAGAGCAAAGTTGTGAGAGGAGCTTAGGATTGGCATCAACGTCTCATGCATTTTCCACTACTCTGTCCTATTTCCTTATTAAATCCAGTGCTACGACAAGGATACAGTGACTCAGTGGTTAGCACTGCTGCCTCACAGCAGCAGGGACCTGGGTTTGATTCCACCCTTGGGTGACTGTTTGTTTGTGTGGAGTTTGCATGTTTCTACCCCATGTCTGTGGGGGGTTTCCTCCCACAGTCTAAAGATGTGCAGGCTAGGGCGGATTGACCATGCTAAATAGCCCCGTAGTGTCCAGGGATGTGTGGGGAAATGCAGGGTTACAGAGATAGGGTAGGTTGCTCTCTAGAGGGTCAGTGTGGACTCGATGGGCTGAGTGGCCCTGCTTCCACACTGTAGCGATTCTACAATAATTGCTTTCCTCCAACCCTACTTACAAACAGAGCTCTTT